CACACACACACACACACACTCTCTCTCTCTCTCACACACACACACATGTTTGTTTTTGTGAATTGTGGGGACATTCCAATGGTTTTTATACTGTATAAACTGTATGTGCTATTGCCCTACAGCAGGGGTGTCAAACTCATTTTCACTGAGGGCCACTTCAACATTATGGCTGCCATCAAAGGGCCGATTATAACTGTAAGACTGTACAAATGTTACTACTCCTTAACATATTGTCTCTTTATTTTATTATTACTTATTTAAGCTACAAATATTGCATATGCATTTGCATAGATGTACAAATATATGTTATTGCTCTGTGTTATTAACATAAATCCTTTTAATTTATCAGCTTAAGAAATCCAAATTACTCCATAAATCACAGTAAATAAAGACAAGTATCATCAAACACAGGTCATTACATTAACTTTGTTAAAAACTTCTTTGTTACATTTATGGTACAACAAATAATTGTGAGCTGCTAAGAACGTGTGACAGATATGGCATTTAAATAAACAAATGAGTCCGGTTTCATGAAAGTGCATATAGCACGATTTTCTGTTTCTATTTGGCATGCGATTTATACGCAGAAATGGACTTTTGCGTGCATATGATACGCACGTGTTTGGCGTGCATATGATACACAATCAATGCTTGTAGTAGAAAAAAAGAAGTAGTGGTACTCTCCCCCACCCAAAAATAAACAAATACAAACTAATACATTTTAATATTTTTTTCTATTTAAATTTTATTAATCAAAATTAGAGGTCGACCGATGTATCGGTTTTGCTGATTAATCGGCACCGATAGTTGATTGCTGGAACTATCGGTTAGCGACAAAAATCCATGCCGATAGTTTTCCGGGTTGCGTCCATTGCTGGAGCGGCTGAGAAGGGTCTGCTGTCATTATTTTAGACCGTTGCTCGAGTTGAACGTGACGCGTCCGGAGTGTGTGTGATACCGGTGAGTTCTCCTAGACTCAGCGCTGCACTTTTATTTTGATTAGATGATCATCAAGTGTTCAAGAATAGAAGCAGTTAAAGTCTGAGAGTATACATACAATATCCATATGTATATCATTTTAATGCTATAGCCTTTGTGTATATATTTAAAGATGTGCATCTTTAAGCATGACAGTTGAAATGGTAACACTTTAAAATAAGAGTCCATTTGTAGCATTAAGATTAATGAAAGCTGTGTAAGTATTGTTCCTTGTTAGAGTGCGTTAATTTCAACATTTACTATTATTATTATTATTATTATTTTCACTACTACTACTAGTATGGTTCAGTACTGGTTTTGTTAATAAAGCGCTATTTTAGTTTTTGTTCAGTATCAATTTTAAAACTATCGGTTAATTAATTGGTATCGGCCAGTGTGGTCCAACCTAGCTATCGGTATCGGCAAAATCCACTATCGGTCGACCTCTAATCAAAATGCATATGGGTCAAAGACGTTAAGATGTCCGCATCAAAAAATTTACAGAAGTGATTTTATGTTCATAGAAAGCACATTAAATGTAAGTAAAGTGTCTACTTTTGAGGTTTCAAATAAGTTTTTGTATAATAAAATGTCAAAATTTGGTTGAAATAATGTTACATTGTCATTCAGTGTAACACTTATAGTTATGTACAAATTCAAACAACATGTTTATTCCGACGTGTACATATTAAAATATATAAAAGAATAAGGGAGCATAAAAAATTCTTACTGACAAATGGGCCAAACCTAGGATAGTGGCAAATTTTCAAAATGTAAAATTACAGCTAATTAGTATTTGGGGGGAAAGTAATTAGTCGTTTAATGTGTCATAAATTGATTTTTGTTTGTTGTAAATATGCCTGACAAGATTGTTACACTGAATGACATTTTAGTGGGTCTCTTCTGAAAATCAGGGGAAAATGTATCATATTTATTTTTTGCTCAGAAAAACAAAAACAAAAAAATACAATTACATTAAACAGAAAACTTTTAACAACAATTTAAAGCTGTATTATTTTTATGCTTTTTTCGTCTTTGACCCACGTATAATCAGCTGCATTCATGAAACTTTACCTTTATAATAAATGTATTTATGTATTTATTCTGTTCGCAGGACGGCGCTCCCGACAGACCCTCGGAGGCGGCGCTCCGGACGGTTTTCCAGCGCTTCGGGAAGATCCGGAACGTGGATATCCCCATGCTGGACCCGTACCGCGAGGAGATGACCGGGAAGAACTTCAACACCTTCTCGTTCGGGGGACACCTGAACTTCGAGGGCTTCGTTCAGTATCAGGATCACACGGGCTTCGTCAGGGCCATGGACTCGCTCCGGGGGATGAAGCTCATGTTTAAGGGAGACGATGGGAAAGCCGTGGCCTGCAGCATTAAGGTCAGCTCTCACTCCATTCTGCTGCTTCACAAAATTCCATTCTGAACTTTCCGGATTCCATTTTTGTCCTGGATTCTGTTTCGTGCTTTTAGTGATCAAAAAGCAAGTCTGATTAATTAAAATCATAAACATTTGTTTTTGCCCAAATTATTTTTTTCCCCCTTTAATTTTTAATGTAAATTTTAATAATCAAAATGCATGTCTAATAAACTGAATTGATAGCGTTATTGGTAACACTTTACAATCAGGTTCATTAGTCATTAGCTAAGAATGAACAATCCTTCTGTAGCATTTATTAATCTTAGTTCATGTTAATTTCAACATTTACCAATGCATTATTAAAATCAAAAGTTGTGCTTGTTAACATTAGTTAACGCACTAATTAATTAAAATCATAAACATTTGTTTTCCCCAAATTATATTTTTTCCTCTTATTTATTTTTATTTTTAAATGTTAATAATCAAAAGGCTGAACTGAATTCATGAAACTTTATCTTTTTAATAACATTATTATTATTATTATTATTATTATTATTATTTTGCAATAATAGGATCCTATGAATGTTTTATTTTTGTTTTATACATTTGTTTTTTAATTTGAACATTTATTTTATATAAACGCCTTATTTTTTCTGGATTTTCTGGATAATCAAAAAGTATGTCTAATTAATTAAAATCATGAAAATTTAGTAACAATTTATTAAAAGTTCAACACAAATTTCATTTTAGGCCCCTGTAAAATCTGTTTTATTTTTCCCCAAACTCTTTATTTTTTTTAGTTTTAATTTTAATTAAGTTTTTCTATTTGCATTTTATTAATCAAAAGGCATGTCTAATCAACTGATTTATGAAACTTCACCTTTTTAATAAATGTATTACTTTTTTTTAAAACAACGATAGGATCCTATGAAATTTTTTATTTTTTCTGGATTCTGGATATTTCAGTTTTAATTTTAATTAAATTTTTTATTTATTTTAGTAATCGATAGGCATGTCTAATCAACTGAATTCATAAAAATTTAACTATTTAATACATTTATAAAAAAAATTAAACAATAATAGGATCCTTTTTTTTTTCTTCAGAAATTCTGTGTTCTGTGTTTTCAATCTTCTGGATTTATGATTATCAAAAACTGTAAGCAAAATGGTAATGAAATGAAGGCATAAAACATTGATTTAGTGTAATTTTTAAAAAGTCCTGAAAACTTTATTTCTAGGTTTTAATGTGGTTTGGACCCCACGGTGCATTAATTTACATAAAATCATATATTAATATTATATTTTAATGTGATCATGCCCGTCTTCTGTTGGGAAGTTCATGGAAGTTTGTAATGATGTTATTTTAGTATTGTAATAGTTTTTATTAATACTTTGAATTAAATTATTATTTTTTTTTATTAGTGCTGTCAAACGATTAATCACATCCAAAATAAGTTTTTGTTTATGTAATATATGTGTGTGTACTGTGTATATTTATTATGTATATATATATATAAATACACACACACACGCATACAGTACATATTTAGAAAATATTTCCATGTATATATTTATATTCATATAATTGATATTATATATAAATATTTTAAATGTATAAACATAACATATTTGTATTAAATATACACATGCATGTGTGTGTGTAGTTATATATACATAATAAATATACACAGTACACACACATATATTACATAAACAAAAACATTTATTTTGGATATGATTAATCGTTTGACAGCACTAGTTTTATAGACATTGTCTGTTTTAATGTTAAAGTTTTAGTCATTTTGTTGTGTTGTCGTCGTTTTTATGTCAATATAGTATTTATTAATTTTAATTTATTTGTTTATTTAATTATTTTAGCACTTCAATTTAAAATAAACACAAATTTAGTAGTAAAACAAATATAAGTTGCAAGTGTAGTGTTGCAATGCAATGCAAAAAAAGCGCTTAAGCAGTAAATATGAATTTTAGGATGTTTATTATAAGCTGAAGGTGTGTTTTCTCAGGTGACGTTTGACACGACTAAACACCTGAGCGATTCGTCGCTGAAGAAGCGTCAGCAGGAGCGACTGAAGCTGCAGGAGCTGGAGAAACAGAGAGAGGAGCAGAAACGCCGAGAGAAGGAGGAGGAGGAGCGCCGCAAGCAGGAGGAGAGGTACTGCATTCAGCCACAAAATCTGTTAATTAATTAATCAAAAATACAGTAAAAATAGTGAAATATTATTCTAATGTAAAACAGCTGTTTTCTAAGTGAATATCTGTTAAACTGTAATTTATTTCTGTGATCAAAGCTGTATTTTCAGCATCATTACTCCAGTCTTCTATCTCAATATTTAATACCTTAAACTAGAGCTGCACGATTAAAACGATTAAGTAACTAGTGCTTCAAATAAGGTTTGTGTCGCTTGCATCGTTTGGCCAGTAGGTGGCGACAGGTGACTGTTAAAAATGTGTTTGTCATTGAATCATTCATTCAAGAGATTCGTTCAAAAACACTGACTCATCCAGTTATGCAACAAGTGAAGTTTTTATGAGTGATTCATTGAATCATTTATTCAAGCCGAGTCATTTTAATATAAAAAAATTTGGTATTTTAAATATATATATTCATGCAAATTAGTTACACACTTTTAAATAGACTGCAGCAATTAATATTTTGTCACAGCCTCTAGTAAATCACACGTTATTTTCTTAAAGGGTTAGTTCACCCAAAAATGAACATTTAAAATTAGTCT